GCCTTGGAAGCACCGTGGAATTTTCCTCTGGACCTTGTTACTCAGGGCTTTATATACCGGCAAGAAAAATTATACTGTGTTATAAAGGTTGCCTTCCCAAGTATAATGAGAGGCCTCATATGAATTAATTATCAAATAGCAGAAGTATTTTGCAGATGTCCAAAAACAGATATCGGTGTTACCCCAAAACTGTACTATGGCCATCAAAGAGTCTCTTTCACCAATAGACTTGCCTTTTTATATTCTCTACTACTCAGTGGAAGAATAATATCTGGTCCACCCACCATGAAGAGGAATCCGCCTTGTAATCTATGAAGCGTATATTTGTGGTCTTGTTATCACCTGGTCTTCTGACAGGAATTTGGAAGTGTTTGGATAGCAAAGTAAAGTGGTAAATATGCAGTTCTCAGGGGGAAAAAATTACCTGCTATATGAATAACAGCCACTGCATAACTATTTAATCTTTTAAGAAATTATTGATAGTTGTGCTCATTTTAGCTAATATAAAGTATGGCAGTTTATTTCCTTAAGGATATTAATTACAAGCCACATGATATACTGATTTTACTGATACATATGTTGCCCCACAGAAAAACATTTGACTGTTAATATCTAAAATATTTGACTCTAAATTAGCACAGTTACTTGATCCATTTATCTCCTGATTGACAGGAACTCTCAGACTGATTGTCAAAGCATGTTTGTGCATCATGGGTGAATTTTTTAATTTTCTTTGAATCTTTATTTCTCCTGTTGGAAATGCCACAGAACTATGGGTCACCGTGTTCTTTGACATCTCACAGTGTGCTATTAATAAACATTTTAAAGCAGAGACACTTCGATCAGTGTAAGTATTTTCCAAATAATGCAGGCTAAAAAGTGGCATGCAAAGGAATGACAATGTACAATAGTATAGTTTCATAAAAGTGATTAAAATTTAAATAATTTTAAAAGATAGGCAAATATTTAGATTTTGTTTATGAATATTAAAATATTCAATGTATATTCTAAATGAATAACAAGGGAAAAGGAAAGAATACTAGCATGTTTTATCATCTTTATTCAATTGGAAGAGCGTTTTCCCCCCAATAAAATTGAAGAATATGACCATTTCCCTAAGTCCTACTCAAGCAGAAGATCCATTTTTTAAGGAATTTACTTAATCCTGTTTATTGAGGAAATTCACAGTTTTTATTTCCATAATAATTTTATGGAATATTTAATTGTGTAATACTGTCTTTTGTTTATTGGGAAATTGGGGTTTATGTTCTAAAGGGTTTAACTCAAGTCAAGGCAAACAGCCCATCATTTATATGTTCTTGTATAATGAAGATACATTCCTCAGCAGTTTAGCCATTACTTTCAGTTACACTGCAAAACATATCTGGAATAAAACATTAGGTACTTGCTTCTTCCATAAGCTATATGATACGTTGGAAAGCACAATTCCTTACTCCATTGTCAACCAAGAGATGCCTATAGTCCATGTCAAGTGATTTTCAGAAGATAAGAACTACTAAAGTCTATGCCAGTAGAAGATGGAAATGGCTCAAGAAGGCTGATTTTCTCCAGCGTGTGCAGACATGCTTCAGCTCCTTGATAGAGCACTAGCAAATTTGTGGAATGGAGAAATGATTAAATCCTAGTCTGCTCTTAGGAACCAGGCAATGTTGAGGAACAACGAGTCAGTTACCCAAACAATATAGCAACAATAGAATATTTTTAATCCAAATAAATAGCAATGATAGAATACTCTAATATTTCTTTTGACTCTAAAGGATACCGTCAAAGTGTGATGAGAGGTCTGTGGGTAGATAAATATACGGTAATACAGCACAGCTAGGATAAATGATTCTTGAAGACTTTGCCATTGAGGGATTTCAAAGGGCTGTGTAGGGGGCAGTCATTCCAGTTGGAGGGAATGGAGGGAAGAGATGGAGTCTGAAACCTAAGAGAAAATGCTCTGATAACAGTTTAAGTATTAGGCTAGACTGTAGATTAAAATTACAAAGGTGTATTTCTCGCTCATAGTGCATGTCCAAACCAGATCAGTAGGGACATTCTCCTTCATGAAGTCACTCAGGGACCCAGTCGGATGAGGCTTCCCCATAATGAACAGTACAGGCTGCTACACCAGAGGAAAGAGAAGGACTGAAAAATTGCACCTGGGCCGTTTACCTTGTCAATCGAGAAATGACACCTATCACTTATGCTCCTATTTCATTGGCCAGAACTAGTCACATGGCCCCATATGAACGCAAGGGGGCTTGGAACTATAATCGCTCATATGCTTAGGAAGGAGACGATATGGACGAGCGCTAACAATGTCTCCCAGAAATGCACTGAGTGTATGTAAGACAAAGGCAGAACAAAAAACTTGTTTAGTAATACCACGCTTGAAACGTCTAGAAACCTTTCCATAGCTTTGTGTAGTGTGGAAATGGAAAGGAGACTGATGGGTGCTAAAAAACCAAACCCACTGCTGTCGAGTCGATTCCGACTCATAGTGACCTGACAGGACAGAGTAGAACTGCCCTATAGGGTTTCCAAGGGTGTAATCTTTATGCACACAGACGGCCACATCTTTCTCCCGCGGAGTGACTAGTAGGTTTGAACTGCTGACCTTTCAGTTAGCAGCCAAGCACTTAATCACTGTGTCACCTGGGCTCTGACTAACGGGTAGGAAAATAGTATTCTCTCTTTGTATGAAGAGTTGAACCCTGGAATCAGGCATTCTATTAGCCAAAAGAGCTTTGGACTCACAATTTTTTTTTCTACTATTAACCAAAATGTATTTTTTAAATCTAAACATAATATTGCCTTACAATGATATTCAGCATTCAGAGACTCAAGGGACTCATTACATACTGTCCTCTCACAATGTCCAAGAGAATTTCTAGAAGTTTCAAATGTGGTATTGCCAAATAATTTTTTTTTGTTCAGACTCTGTATTGCAACATAGAAGATAGATGAATCATTTGTATTTGTAAATGTTCAATAGATTATAATATGTAACGTGCATATAGAGTATTTGGAAGTTATACTCACTCCTAGTTTACTCAAAGGTGCCTGTGATTCATGCACCAGAGGCACAATGAGAAAAGTTGGAATAAACTTAGTCACCAAAATCTTATTGTTAGTAACGCCAATTACATTTAATCAATCTACCTTCATTATTATTTTCACAAGGTATTTGTGAGGAATCAGGGAATGTATTTGGTAAGCTCCATAACAGTAAAGCATTCCCAATCTTCATATATTTAGATTTCTTACTGACCTACAAATACCAATCTAACAAAGAAAATAATGTTTCACTTTGATAAGAAATTTGATGAAAGAACTTTAGAGTAGTATCTGCTATCTATATCTGCTGTATCAAGGTCATTGTTTATAGCCCCTTTCCTTCTCAAAATTCTCCCAGTTGGAATGATAAGTTATATAGTGACCCTAACTATATCCTACTTTTTAGCACTGGAGATTGTTAAGTTACTATACATACATTTTTCTTGTTTTATTCCTGGTAATAGTAAGCTACTATACACAAAGTCCTCGAATATCATATGCACTCATTGAAATCTTGGTTAACTCTTGAAACATAAATTGGGGGAGTTGAAGTAAACTCTAAAGCTAAATCACAAACCCATATATAAATGTGATATGCGATAAATATTTAAAGTAGGCTATTGTATGAATAATTTTAAATAAATAAGTTTAAGAGATTATAATTTAATTGTACCTTATTCAATTTGAAAATGTGGGCTTGAGTCCACTTTGAAGAAAGAGTCAACAGTTGAACCTCACAAATAGGAATTTATGCACTAGTTTATTTATTTCGCTATGCAATTTATGACATAAAATTCCTGAAATATGTCTTCTCCCATCTCTATACACTCACATATACTCACATAGAAAAATAACAACTCTATAATTTGGTACTCTAAGGCACACTCCATAGGGAAAATTTTAATGTAGAAAACAAGTCAATGAGTCAGATTCCCACAAAGACAGATGCCTCTTCTTGCTATTTTTAAAGATGTAAGTTGAGTGCGTTTAGAAATGGCATAATGCTGCATAATAATGATGGCAATGTATATGACTTAATGCTTCTTCCAAAGGTGCCTAACCCACAGTCAGGGAAGAGCAAATACCCTAATCTGACTTATACCGAAGCAGTTCATTTTATGTCCCATACCATAGCTTCCTTAAACACACACACACACACACACACACACACACAAATACATTACACACATGTAACTTCTTTCAGAAATGTCCAATCAGTTTAAAACAGAAAATAAGTTGCCATGCAGTACATAGTTTCCAGAACTCTGTGGCCTTTTAATTAAAGACATGATTGATAGGAACACGGTTGCTTTTGCAATACCCTGCATAACAAGGTTTGCTGAAAGCCACTTAAACAACATAAAGGACATATATATTTAATAAAAGCTCACTGATGATAATACACAATGAGCCCATCATGGGCACAAATTACTTTTATATTTTTAAATAACCTCTTAGTACCAGCAGGTACAACAAAAAATAGAATTTTAAAACTATTTTGACTGAGTCAGAAGCAGGATTTTATTCCTTTATTTTTTCAACAGTATCTTATTTCATTTTTGAGATAGATGCACAAAGGGATTGCTTAACAAGGGTACTTAAAATTGCTGATTTTCTAACGTTTAGAATCATAACTTTACTATTCCAAAAACCAACCCCATTGCCATCTAGTCGTCTCTGACACATAGCGACCCTACAGGACAGAGTAGAGCTGCCCCACAGGGTTTCCAAGGAGCGCCTGTAGATTTGAACTGCCTACGTTTTTGATTAGCAGCCAAACAACCACTGTACCACCAAGGCCCCAACTTTACTATTAGCTGCTTACAATTTACCAAGTTTCATTATACCATTTTCTCCTTCGTTCTCAAACTCAGGACATAAAAATATAAGCAGAAGAAATGAAGCATGTTTTATTTTTAGGAGCATTACCTTTTTATTATGAGATTTTGATTAGCAATAAATTTAAAACAATTCTTAACAAAATAGTTATGCATGTCTGATAACTGAAATATGGGACCCACAGGCTCATATATTCACACTAGAAATGAAAAAGTCACTACTATATCATACAAAATCCCTACAGAATTTATACATAAAACAATGAGAACTTCAGAGCTACGTAGCCCTCTAAAGGGGTAAGTAATCCAATGGTGCTTTGTTTAAAACCTCAGCTGTATTCCTCTTGCCATATGTATTGGATCCCACACTGGTCAGCGGGAGGACGGCACCAAGATTGTTGCTGGATCGAAGTAGATAGTTTGCCAGGCGTTGGGTTGCACAAGGGGCAGTGTTGCGTTTCCATTTTTCCACCTGATGACTGGTAACATAAAACAAATGTGGAAGATCAGAGGCTTCATATCTGGAAGGATACAACTGTATGATGAAACTAAAGGAAATATTCTCAGATAAGTAACTAAACGTTTTGGATTGAAAATATTTGGATGACTGACAGATTTTTTCGACACCTTAAAGATGCTGCAAAATTAATTTTTAACTTGCAAATTATATAACGCACACTCCATTTCCTAGTATGATTCTTTCCTTGGAAATTCAGAATAAGTTCTAGATAATGAAAAAAAAAAGGTCTGTGCCTTATATTCTTCTGAATCTTGTTGATGAATTTATTTCCCCATATACAAAATGGATTTGCATAAACAGTTAAGTGCTCAACTACTAATCAAAAAGTTGGACGTTTGAGTCCACTCAGAGATGCCTTGGAAGAAAGGCCTGGCAGTTACTTCTGAAATGTCCCAGACTTGGAAACCCTATGGAGCACAGTTCTACTCTAATACACATGGGGTTGCTATGAGTTGGAATCAATTCCATGGCAACTGGTAATTGGTGAAAAATGGATTTAAAATGTAAAGTGTATCTGTAACCTGGAATGTGTGGAAGTTTTTCAAGAATATTCATTTCCCAAATGTTTTCAACAAGAATTAAGCAGTATTATTTTTTGTTAAGTTCCCTGAGATCATTGAATTAGGAGTGTTATGAGTGAAAAGTCTCAAGGAAATCAAATTTATCACTTGTTCAGGCACTCTGACTGTTGTGGTGTGGGAGGTCTATTACTCTTAGCATAAAAACATGAATGTTACCATCTTCCTGCCACCTTCTTAGTTCCTATGCTTTTAATAATTTTAATGCTAGGACTAGGCTAAATGTTAAAACCGAAAGACTTTTTATGTCAGTGGTATTATTATACACCACATTCTTTCAGCTACCTGGAACAACTGCATAATAATATTATAGGTAAATCAGAAATGATAATCATGATTAAATGAGTCATTGGAATTTTAACTTCTGTTGCTACTTACAGAAATTACTCATATCAGCTCTATTTATTTCTGTATTACCTTTTATTTAAATGTGCTTTCAAAATGGTATTGTAAATTGATAAGAAGAATTGCATTATTCTCTGCTGATTATTAAGAAAGCTAGGAAAATGTATGTTTTAGTTTCATCTCCATCGAAATCAAAATATTGGTGAAACTTAGGGTATGTGTAAAGTGAGAAAGAAATGCACATGTGGGGCTAAAACTCAATGTCCCGGAAGCCAGTGGAGACAGATAATTTGGGGCAAAATTTAATGAACCTTATCTCAGTGCATTTATTTTGTGTGTGGAGTAATTCGTTATCTGTACTTCTGTGTAGAGATAGCTTAATGGCAGAAATTTTAAAGTTTTATCTGAAACTTCAGGAGTTTTACGCCCATATTTCCTCTCAAATACAGAAAACTCTGTTTATAGAATCAGGTAAAGTGGTTATCTGTTGAGTGTAAGTGTACGCTGACAAACCAATTACTCAGGCGAAAGGAAACCCACTTTGGGACCTAATTAACTGGTCTACATATCAATCTTATGCATACTATCTGTTCAATTATTTATTTCTCTTTGCATGTGTACTAAGCATGGCCAATGTGCATTTCAAAAGAATGATTTAATGCTTTTTAAGAGTTGAACCAGTAATTACATATATTGGATATTATATTCTTAAAGATGATAAACTTTTCCTGAAAAACAGCAGGAATTGCAATTTGGCCCAGACAGTTCAGACTAACACATTTAAAGTAATAAAGGAAATTATGGGCCAAATTGGTAAAGTTCAAAGGGATATCTGTCCCAAAATATGTTTGGCAAATATCTGGAGCAGAGTGTGAAATATTCTATACGCCAAATGTCTGAGGGGTAACTTGAAAATTGGTCTTAAGGTCAATGAGAGATTTTAAAATTATTTTGAACACATCAGCTGCTCTGAGGGAGAAAAATGTGGCAATTTGCTTCTGTAGAGATTACAGCCTTGGAAACCCAATCAGGGTCGGATTAGTAAGCATGGTATGCACCCGTTTGCATTAAGCAAGGTATGCACAGGCTTAATTGTATTTACTTGCTAACGTGTGGTGAGCGGTTTCACCTGGGTTTCACCACTCCTTTGACGTCATGGGGGACAGGAGAAATTGTGCACCGCAGATTGGTTGGGAAGGCACAATCAGGCCTGTGCGTACCTTGCTTACTGGGCAATCTGGTCCTGCAGGCTATGGCGCAGTCCTTCTCTGTCCTGCAGGGTTACTATGAGTTGGAAAAGACTCCACTGCAGAGGGTCTGGTTTTTAATTTGAGTTAGTTGGAAGGGCCATTGTTCTACTTAAAAGAAGTATTAAGAGCCTGCAGCTTTGTTGTTTCCTAAACTGTAACACTGCTTTTCCAAACAAGAATTTTCATCTAAGCGTACTGTTCAACACATACAAGATTCTGTCCAACACAACCACTAAGATAAAAAAGGTGTCTAAAATAGCTAGCGAGAAGCATCACGTCCCTACCTTAAGGTGTCTTTCCTCACTGATTGCCTGGGCAGACAAGGCCTGCCAGCTAATGCTGACCACTTGGAAGCACATACGCACATGGAAATTCTTGGCTTTAAGAGATTTTAAACAGTGACAACTGTAGGTCAAACTCCAACTTCTAAATTTTCTCTCTAAAAACATCTCAGTTTCAAGGACTTTAAGAATGATCTGGTTATCCTGCTCTCTACTCTTAACATTCGTGTTTGGAGGTATGTAAACTCCTAAGCGAGCTTAGTTTGGTCCCAATATAATTATGTTTTTGACTACCATCTGATTACATGCCAGGCAGATATGTATAACAGAGTGTGAAATAGTTGGTGGACAAGTATGTGATCCTTTTGCCTCAGTCATGCTTACAAAGTAAAATAAATATTATTTTTTGATATGGCTTTGTGAAAGGAGTTTGCTCCTTCTTAATCCCCTCTCATATAAATATAAAAGTTGGAAAATTCACAAAAGAAAAGATCAAATCTCATGACATGGAATAATAAATCTATATTACCTTTAATTTTTGGAGATGTTTAATTAAAATTTGAGACATTTTCTACATAGGTTTTTCTCGGCTATTTCAGAGACCGACAGAACATTACATGGTTGCACAGCTCAGGATAATAAAACCTCCTCCCTTAAAACAAAATGTCCAAGACACTAATTTCAGGAAACACATTAAAAAGCAATTTTTACAATGTTTTAGAAACATTTCTGATAACAATTCCAAATAAGAGATTGTGAGACTAATGTAAAAATAATTTGACAGTAATGTTATGTACTATCTTATTCCTGAGTGAAGTTCACTTCATAATAAGAAAACATGCATGAAGACAATTTGATTAAAGATGCATAGCAAATGCCTGTTTTTAATGAAAGAAAAGATTCAAGATACAGATAGAAATACTAGGTAACACCGCTAATTTTCCTGTCGTCATTCAACTGTTCTGCTAGTTTATCAGAAACTTCATGTCAGTTTTAAGGTTATTTTTATCCATGAAAAAGCCAGTCAGTTCTGAGAAGAACACCCCGTAAACAAGACAAGCCCTGAAATGCCCAAGAAAACCTTCTGATGATTTCTGCTATTTGTTAAATGTAGGTGTAGTAGAATTATTTGCATATGGCCACAAACCTCCATCACAACAAAAAACACCCCAAAGGAAAAGAAAGACAAGATGCTGATAGTTTTTTTTTCTATTTTAAAAAATTTTATTTTGGTAAAATATATATAACAAAACATTTGTCATTTGAACCATTTTTAAGAGTATAATTCAATGACATTAGCTATATTCACCATGTTGTACAACCATCATCACTGTTCACTTCTAAAGGGTTTTCATCACCCCAAACAGAAACTCAATATTGTTTAAGCAATAACTACGGATTCCTCTCTTTGCCTAGCCTCTGGTAATCACTAATCAACTTGGGTCTCTGTGCATTTGCCTGTTCTGTATATTTCATATAAGTGGGGTCATATAATATTTGTCCTTTTGTTTCTGACATTTACGTAGCATAATGTCAAGTTTCATGCATGTGATAGCATGTATCACGGATTCATTTCTCTTTATGGCTGAATAATATTCCGTTGTATGAGTATACCACATTTTGCTTATTCATTCATCTGTTGATGGACACTTGGGTTGTTTTCACCTTTTGGCTACTGTGAACAATGCTGTAAATAACACTGGTGTACAAATATCTATTTGAGAGCCTGCTTTCAAGACTTTTTAGGTGTATGCCTAGGAATGGAATTGCTGGGTCATTTGGTAATTTTATACTTAACTTTTTGAGAAAGTGCCAGACTGTTTTCCACAGTGGCTGCACCATTTTACATTCCCACCAGCAATGCATGAAGGTTTCAGTTTCTCCTAGATGCTGATAGTTTTAATGTGGACAGTTCTAATGTGAATTACAGCAAACTCGTTTCAAAAGTAAACATAATTTTCCTTGGTCTTATAGAGTATGTAAGTTCAGTCCCGTGAGACTAGCTGGAGTCAAAACTGATTTCCACACAAGCAAATCCTCATTATGTTATTTATGACATATGAATGGAGCTGGACTTAAGAATTTGAAATAAGTGGCAAATTAAAATTTTAAAGGCCTGCTGTTTGAAATGTATAATTACTGCTGACATTTTCACCTGGCATAGTTTTCAGACTTTTTTAAAACATTACTTTCTTCTTAGGAAGTCCTGATGCAAATGCTACTTAATTATAATATTTCAAGAAGTATGGATTTACATTTAGAGCAGCTCAGAAGAAATCTCATGGAGAATGATTTTTTTATATATAACTCTCTTTCATTAACAGAACAGCTCGCAATATAGAATGAATCCCCTACCAGCAAATGGCCCCTTACCTAGTTCTTCTAACTTCTTAAAAACTTTAATTTGCTTCCTAATTATTTCCATATATTTCAATTTCCAAAAGGAGATGTAAAAGCTTTGGATATTGCCAAAGCCCTCTGAGAAAAAGAAAATTTATGTAAATATACAATAAAATTCCACCTTATGTAAAATACATGTTTTACTTA